GCGTCCTGTTCGCCCTTGAGGTGGCAGGATGTGGCATTGCCTTTCCCCAGCCGCGATGAGACCTGGATTGTTTCGACCACGTTGGGGTCCTAAGGAAGCCGGTAAACTCCTGTGAAGACCGCGTAGTGTAGAGACTCATAGAGACCCTCTAACTCCCCACGACAGCCGGGCGACCCGGTCTTGCAGCTAAATCTTGGTACTGCATTACAAGAGACGGGTCAAAATGCATAACTCGAAGACCGGAAACCGACTTTTAAACGAAAGTGAAATTCTGACATCTGGTACTGTTCGGCAACACCAAACGGGACCTTACGACTTCTTCGGTCTAATTTTCAGTTTGACCCGGGTCTTACGGCATGCAATGCTAGCATTGCGATCAAGAGCTCTATAACGAATAATTACCTGGGGCTCCAAATAGCCCAAAGTAGGCACTATTTACAGACTTTAGACCCCAAAGTAGGTACCATTTGTATACTTGGAGCCCTAGGGTTAGTAAATATAGTAGTACGACTTATGCCTCCTTCTGGCCTACTGTGTAGGGCTTGGGGGGTCCTTGGACGGTAGGCTCGAACCGCTACGGCATCGTGAAACCCCCAGAAGTCCTTACTTCCCACCCCGCAAAGGAGTGAGCTCTGAACCCGACACAAGGCAACACTCCAAGTCTTAAGCCCATAGCCGTCAAGCGAACACAAACATCGTATAAATTTAAAGTCTTAAACGCAAAGCCCTCCTCCAACCCCGAACCCTAAACCCCAAACCTAAACCCTAAGCCTAAACCCTAAAACCTAAACCCTCCAACCCCGAACCCTGAACCCTAAACCCTGCCAAACCAAAATTTCGACCTCGTCGTTGGGGTTCTCGGCATCAAAAAACCACATTGTATAGGCCAGGTTCTCCTCGCACACCGCATTTCGGGTTTCAGGGCTTCTGGGTGAGGGGCTTGCGGTTTTAGGCTTTATTCGGGGCTTATGTAGGCGTTTAGTCTGCCGTACTACATTGGGGACCTAAAAAGGGGCCCTAAGTTAGAGACATACTCACTTATAGGGATTATAGGGATCTTCTGGAGGATCTCATCTCCTGCGAAAATGCCACCAACATCCTAACCATGCGCAGAGCGAAACTATTGCAACACGAATATGTTGCGATGCAACAAAAGGTTTAGGGTTTAGGGCAACAAAGCTTAATTCTTCTTATGCCAAACGTCTTCGAGAGTAGTCTGTGGTTCTTGCTTTCAGGGACGAAGTGTTAGGAACCAGTTGAAACGTCGGGCCAAGCCCTGAATGTGTACTGAAGGCCGCCAGCCCCGAAACCTACCCGAGCCCTCTCTCAGCAGGCAGGAAATGCCTTCCCTCATGTCAAGCTGCTGCTATGTAGTATAGGGGCCTTAATAATTAGACTGGGTTTTGGGGCCCACTATACCTAAGAATGATTGAGGCTTCTATATACTCGAACCTGAATTTCATGTTGAAGGTGGGGCTTGGCATTTCGAGTGATGCCATGAAGTGTCCGTGCAAGGAGTCCGAGCAGCGTTGCGTTCGTATCGAAAGGCCGTACCCCACATCTTTTCGCAGAGCTCTCTGCCAGATGTGTAGATCTGTCCCATTTCGCGGCAGTTCCTCAAGCATGAGACCCTGCACTCTAGACCCTGAGCACTTTCATTCCGCAGATTTTGGCTCGGGGATTCTTCTACTGTTGCAACCTTATTGTGTCACGGTTTGCAAAGTCTCCTGTTAAAGGTCTGTGGCGCGTGCTTCATTTTGTTTCTCGCTTGTACGCAAACCTACCTCATCTTCGAAAAAAGATTCGAAAGCCGACTGAAATCATTTGTCCATGGGGCTGCGCAGTCGTATGTCCGTAGACATGGCCGCCAGAGGGCAGAGGAAAGCCCCAAACCTTCGCTGTGCTCTGAGCTTGCAAGGCAAAGCCAGCTTTCAAACAACTCTGCCCTCATCCGTGAAGAAATCTAAACCCCGACTTTTGAGGCCTAAACCAGACACTTTGAAGTTTTACACCCTACATCTTTGGACCCTAAACCAGAGCCCTCAACCCTAAACCCTAAACCAGAGCCCTAGACCCTTAACCCTAAACCGAAGCCCGCGAACAAAACGAGGCAGCGCAGCGCAGGTTTACCAGAGCAGCCAAGCGACCGGTGCGGTGGCCACCAAGAAGGAAGGCATGGCTCTGGAATGAGGGTGGCTTTGGGAAGTATAGGGTAGGGTTTAGGGTTTAGGGTTTAGGGGTTTTGGGTTTAGGGTTTAGGGTAGGCTTTAGGATGGTTCAGAGTTTTGGGTCTAGGATTTGGGGCTTTGGATTCGGGCGTTGGGTTTAAAAGTTTAGAGTTCTGTGATCAGCGTGGCATCCAGAGAGCCAGCAACCCTTTACCTGCAGATTATTCTACCAAAACCATGATCAGGAGCCTTCGGGCGAGTTCAGGAAGATTCCCGGTTTACAGTCTATACTATAGACTCAAATACGGGACTCCTTAAACCCTAAACTGTGCATGTAGGGCCCAGCAGCATGCAGAATTTGGGCTTCGCGAAAGGCTGAGGTCTGCTTGGGCTACGAGGCGTCGCAAACCTGAGTCTTCCATCGATGAGGGTTTCCGAAAATAGGGGACCCTAATACAGTACCTTAAATAATAGGACCCTTATTATAAGGACCCCCAAAATAAGGTAAGCGAAAGCCTTGCCTTGTGGTGCAATCCTAGACCCACGACTCGACAACTTAACTCCCTTCGGTTTGTGTTGTCAGCAGGCAAGATACGTAACCCTGAACCCTTTTTTGAACCCAGACTCTGCCCGTAACCCTGAACCCTAAATCTTGAACCCTAAATGCTAAACCCTGTAAGCCCAAACGGCTTTCAGCGGGCTGCGCAGATCTCATAAGCCGTGAGCACAGGAAGTTCGGAAGGATGTGCATGGGGCATAGGGCTTCACGTCAAGAGAGCGTGGTTTAGGCTGGGAGACCAGGCGATCCACGACCCCAAATCGCACGCCCCGGATCCTGAAGGCATGGCAAAGGAGAGCGCACTCTGCTCCCCCATCTTCCCAGCTTCAGATGCCAGAACAATGCGGTTTAGGGTTTAGGTTTAGGTTTTAGGGCTTTAGGGCTTTAGGGTTTTAGGGTTTTAGGGTTTTAGGGTTTTAGGGTTTAGGGTTTAGAGTTTAGGGTTTAGGGAAATCGTAACAAGCGCTGACAGAAGTATCACGCATTGGGCTGGAGCTGAGACCTGGCCGGTGCCCACCGAAGACCAGGGAAATACTAGATCTCTGCACATAGCCGGCAAAGGCTTATATCGAATGCCATAGACGCCTCGGAAGGAAGCCCTAAACTAAACATCTAGACACGCCTACAACACATACACCTAAGTGGAATTCTGAAAACTGCAGACTGTAGGCCCCCGGCAAGCTTTGCACCAGCGGTTCGGCTTCGTGTGGAGGTGACACCGCTTGGGCTCCTCCTACGGACGCTGTTCGGCTTCAGGGTCGACTACAGAGGCCTCTAGGGGTTTAGGGTTTAGGTTTTAGGGTTTAGGGTTTAGGGTTTTTGAAAGAGTACCCATAGGGCCCCATAGTAGTTCCTGTTTGGGATTCCCTAATCGGATCCTAAATATAAGCCACGAAAAGGAACTACTATGGGGCCTGTGGGTAGTTCTAGGGTTGAGGATTTAGGGCGTAGGAGTTTTAGGGTTTAGGAGTGTAGGTACTGGCCTTGCGTGTTTAGTTTCAGGGTTTAGAGTCATATTTTCCGTTTTGGGAGATCGTTGGGGTTGCAAGGGCTTAGGGTTTGGGGTTGAGGGGTGGGTCAGGGTTTGGCGTTGGAGCAGGTGGACTTCTCACTTAAAGCTCCCATAAGGGATGTACAACGCCAAGCAGAAGAGTTAGCGCAGGTACAAGGTGTACCCTGATCAGTCTTCACTTACATTATTAACCCTAAACCCTAAACCCTAAACCCTAAACCCTAAACCCTAAACCCTAAACCCTAAACCATTACATCTCATGAAGACCAGGGTGTTAGTTCTAATGAAGCGTAGGGGATCAGAGGTCGTACAGACGGAGGAGTAGGATTTCCTTCGTATCGATTCGCAGAAAGGAGTTTGGCTTTGGCCAGTGTTGAGTGTTAAATCATGGAGTTTAGTGTGCATTGTTTAGGGTTTAGGGTTTGGGGATGCATAGCTGATATGGGAGCTTCAGAAAAATACGGGGCTTGAAGACAGACACCTACTTAATCATCACAGGAATCCGTCAGTAGGGTTATACTTAAGGCAACTACGCTTATGTAGAACTAACGATAACCCGAATGAAGGTGCTTGTATAAGCATACTTACTAAGTTCCATAATCCTTTAAGTACAACAGAAGCCCCAAACCCTCGAACAACCCAAACCGTAACACCCGAATCCTTTATGCCTCGTGGGAGGTGAAGGGGATAAGAGTCTTCTGGCCCTGCTGCCTAAGCTCAGAGTTGTTCAAGCTCTGCAGCTGATAGAAGGGGCCTGAGTACCAACTCTAATCATTAAGGCTCCGAAATTTTGCTCCCTAACCCTGAGCCTCAAAAGCCTGAGCACCAAGAGCCCACACCCCAAAACCCTTAAATCCCAAACACCCCAACACCCGAACCCTACAGCCCCACGCCCTGAGGCCCTAAAGCCCCATACAGCAGAAGCCCAAGAGTTGGAAAGCCAGTAGCCTCAATCCTGAAGAGCAATGAAAAAGGAACCTCAGCACTATGTTTTGCTTAATCCGGTTTCCAACTTTTGGGGCTTACTATAAACCTAAAACCTGTAAAGCATCAGACCCAGATGAGCTCGAGGCTCCGAACCTCGAATCTGATCTCTTGGACCCTCATATAAACCCTAAACATACTATTGTTAGGGTTCCTGGTTACAAATGTATTATTGTTAGGGTTCCATATTACATATATACTCTAAAGGAGCCCAAAGCCCTGTTCTAATCATTAAGGCCCCTAGATTACCCAAAGCACTGTCGCGGATCAAGCGCAGGAAGAACACTCCGGCATTTCCGAGTCGCGGCGGCATGAGTTTTCCTAACACCACCGTTCATCAAGCCCTTCACATGCTTTAACCATAAACATTGTGGCGGACTTAACGTTTCGGAGCCTCGGGGTGAGGGTCAGTGCAGTATAGAACATCTGCCTGTACATGCATACATACGTACACACATGTGTTCAACCCTAAACCCTAAACCCTAAACCCTAAACCCTAAACCCCTGGACACTAAGGCCTTCAGGGCAGGTTTGATCAGGAAGATGAGGCACTTGCAACCGCTCACGGTAAGGTAGACCCTTGCTGCTGCTGGCGCGGTGTACGGAGTTTAGGTCTGATAGATAAAACGCTCATATTCTCCAACATAGCGCAGGATTCCGACTCAGGGGGTTCATAACCAATCCCCGATCTACCTTACAGAGGAGACAGCGCTCTGAATCCAAGCCATTCTTTCAAGGGACTGTAGATACCAGTACTCGCGGGGTTGCCTTTTGAACATGTTGCCCGAAGTCCCTTTGACCTACTATAGGAGCCTAAATAGTTACCAATCTAATTCCTTAGGGTTTAGGGTTCCTATGAATATTATAAGTATACCATACTGGAGCAAAAAAACCCTGTTCGAATTATTAATTAAGGCCCCTACATCATGGCATTTGTTGCAGGCAGGCCATGTCGATCACATAGGAGGCACAGGGTCCAGTCCCCTTACTCGTCTTGAATCTGTTTACCACATTTTTGCAGCGTTGGCATGGCAGTAGACATGTTTCTAGCATATGAGAAACGGTAATTATTCAGTTCCGTGATGTTTCTGCAACACCTAGAATGTAGAACCAGGCCCTTTCAAAAGAGTAAGTGTTATCGCAGACGCAGAGACAACTCAGAGACTCCCTATAAACTCTAAACCCTATAAAACCCTATGAACCCTGAACCCGACAAACCTTAAACCCTATAAGCCCTATAAACCCTACACCCTATAAACCCTAAACTCTAAGCCCTATAAACCCTAAACCCTCTAGACCCCAAACCCTATAAACCCCAAACCCTATAAACCCTACAAGCCCTAAGCCCTATAAACCCTACACCCTAAACCCTCTAGACCCTAAACCCTGTAAACCCAAAACCTTATTAACCCTACAAGCCCTAAACCCCATAAACCATAAAGCCCATAAACCCTAAACCCTAAAGCCCATAAATCCTATAAACCCTAAATCCCATAAACTCTAAGCCCTAAGGAGCAACCCGGCTCAGCCCTAAACCCGAAAGGAGCCAAATGGCCTGCGGCTGGAGGACTCAGGTGACCTGGAGCCTAGGATGAAGCGGTTGTATAAAAAGGGGGCCTTAATAGTTACCTCTAGTTTTTTTGGGGGGCTCCTTATTAAACATATTTTGGATAATGGGGCCCGAAACCCTATTCTAATTAGTAAGGCCCCTAAATTACATGCACGCATCCACGGACACCCGTGTTTGTTGTTCATGTGTTTCTGCTGCAGCTGCTACTGTTTATGGTGTTGGTTGTTTCTGACCCGCGGCCTTATTAACATGTATGTTTTTGCCTCTCGTCTAGATTGATGGTCCTGATGATACGTAAGTGAACCATGCTGCTCCTACTGCTACGACTCCGATGGTGATGCTCAGGATGATGATGTTTAGGGTTTAGGGTTTAGGGTTTAGGGTTTAGGGTTTAGGGTTTAGGGTTTATTTTGCTGCAGATGGCCATGATGCGAAAAGCGGCCACAACTCACAGAAGATCCTTAAGTCACAGAGAGAAGTACCTACAGAGGAGCTTTTGCTTGGGATGAAGGACCTCGCCATGCTAGTAAGCATGCTTTCCTGTAGGGACAACGAACTGCGCTGCGGCTCCACAAGAAGTGCCTTTGATTTCGCTGCAGCCATTAAACTGTACATCTGACAACTCTAGACCCTGAAGGCCTAAAACATCCTGCACCTTAAACCTCGAAATGGAAGTTTTGGGCAAGCCATTCCGGACACATGCGATTTCAGCTTCCCAGTCAGTTCCCAGCCCTGAACCTCATATACGGCTTATAGAGCCTGCATAGAACGCATCACTGAAGGAAGCCCAAGCCCTGTTTAAGAATTTTAAGGCGTCCTAAACCCGAACAAAAAGATCCTCAGGCCATTCCGAAGATGCTAGAACTAGGGCCCATTCTAAACCCTATTAACACAAACATCCGTAAGCCGCCGCAAGTTAGAGCCCAGCCCTAAACCCTAAACCCTAAACCCTAAACCCTAAACCCTATAAACCCTATAAACCCTAAACCCCTAAGCCCCTAAACCCTATGAACCCTAAACCCTATAATCCCTAAACCCCTAAACCCCTAAACCCACCCCTCAACCCAAGACCCGAAGCCTCAAACAGGCGCTGACCCATTCTGTATGGAGACGGCGTCCGAGTACCTGGAGCGCTCCTTGGATGTAATCTAGGGTTTAGGGTTTAGGGTTTAGGCGCCTTATAAGAATTATAATAGGGTTATGGGGTATGCTCTACTTGTGCCCGGGGTCATTCAGGGTCGGGATCTTGGGTGTTGAACTAGGTCTCAGTTTGGATAACCTTGAATTTCCCTTATTGTTTTATCTAGAGCCCTAAGTATAAGTCATGTCGGGGACTGTTGAAAACCCTAAACCCGGAACCCCAAACCCCTAGGGCTTTGGGCTTCGATTCTGCCATTTTGGGCCTCCGGGCTCCTCCGCAGTATTGCTCCGCTTTCTCCTATTCCTCTAAGACTACAAGAAGCCCTTGGTAGGTAGCAGTCATGGAGATTTGGCCTCAGAGAAGCAAAAACCCTGAACCCTAACAAAAGTAGTAGTTTGTATACTCGGAGTCGCCAAAATTGTAATATGAATGGTCTTTTGGGACCTAATTCCATAATGGGAGTATATATGGACCCTCTGGGTTAGGGTTCGTGTCCATATAGCTTCTATTCACCGAGCGCCCTTTTCTTCTCCCTGGGCCTTCTCCCGGCTCCTCCTACCAAACCTCATCACCGAAAAGGGACCTAAACCCTAAACGCTAAACCTCCATTGTTAAGAACTGCACGCTTGACTACCCGTGACTTACCCAGAACGAACAGTTTACTTCAAAGATCAGGGGACTTCGCAAGTAGGGTCACAACCAATAATACGTGTAGTTACCTTATTTTGGGGTACTTATAATAAGGATCCTACTATTTAGGGTACTATATTAGGGTCCCCGGAATAATCTCCGGGAGCCTAGAAACAAGTAAGTTGTGGTAGGTCAGGGTTGCTAGCCCCTTCGACCGATAGTGACCATGGTTGTGTTCTATAACCCTGCTCCTTCGTGTTGTTACATTCATAGATAAGCCTCAAACAACTCCCACTGAGAGCCCACAAAGAATGAGCCCCTAACTTCAAGACAACGATCAGACACCTTTAAGGTCCTTACAAGCCTCCCCACAAAACCACCACACGGCCCCATTCCCGAAGGGAGCACATCAAGGTATCCTGGACTGTTCGGCTCAAGAAGGTCTCACTATCATGGATCAGGGGACTTAGTAACATGGCGGGTCCATATATGCTACCACAGGGGAACTAGGCCCCGAAAGACCATCCTGAATCATGGTTTTGGGTACCTACTGCCATAATCGTAGTGTATATGGACCCTCTTGGTAAGTAAGGTTGGATGAGATCCGTTACGTGTCTCGGGGGGTTGAGGCGTACTTGAAGTATGGGGGATCTAGTAAGATAGGCAACCAGGGTACCCTAACTTTCGGAAACTCCCAAATGGTACAACCGACAGCAAGCCGTCTCAGCCAGTCGACCCGAGCCTTGCCTGCCTTGAACATGCTGCCAGATATTAATAGGGTTTAGGGTTTAGGGTTTAGGGTTTAGGGTTTAGGGTTTAGCCTAGGTCCAAGATACCCGAACCCACTTCATGGTTGTGAAACGGCCCCCCCAAACCCTAAACCCTGAGCCCTCCCAAGACGTTGAACTCCGAAGCCCGGAGCGAGGAAGTTTCAAACAAGCCCTGTAAAGCTCGAAGCCGCGAGCAATACCCACAACCCTAACCCTACCTACACCTTCAACTCCTAAACAGTAAGCCCGAAAATGTGACTTTTGGCCCAAGGCCCCTAAACCTGAAACCCTACAGCCTAAGGCTACCGGAAGATGAGCCGCATGGAGAAGATTCAGCTTGCCTTGCAGTCCAACTTCTACGAGATGCTGCACCTCGGCCCCCTAATCCCTAAACCCTAGACCCTAAACCCTACAGCCTAAACCCTAAAGCCTAAACCCCAAACCCTAAACCCTAAACCCTAAACCCTAAACCCTTGAACCCTAAACCCTAAACCGTGCTCGGCCTCAGGGGCTTCGAGGGTTGTTTTAAGGAGGTTCAGGGGCGTTTTTAGGGTTTAGGGTTTAGGGTTTAGGGGTTGGGGGTTTAGGGTTTAGGGTGAAGGGTTTAGGGTTGGGGGTTTAGAGTGTCCAGGGGTTGAGGGTTAAGGGTTTAGGGTTTAGGGTTGGGGGTTTAGAGTGTTCAGGGGTTAAGGGTTTAGGGTTTAGGGTTTGGGGGTTTGGGTTTAGGGCTGTGGATTTTGGGATTTAGGGTTAATGGGTTTGACGCTTCAGGCCCTGAGGGCCCATTGGGTTTGAAGCCTTAGGGTGGTTTGGGGTGTTGTGGGCCTGCTGGGTTTGAGGCTTAGGGTTTAGGATCTGTAGTTTTGAGAGCCTATCGCTGCCTGTTGAGTTCGGAGGGTTTAGGGCTTAGTGTTTAGGCATCCGGCTGTGAAGCGTGAGGGTTTATGGGTCTTCATTGAGGCAAGTTTGGGCTTCTAGGACAGGGTTGAAGTTGACTGATTCCCTAGATTGGGGCCCCTTCCGGGATTACGTAACATACCTAATTCTAGGGCAACCTCATCATCTTTACCGTAGCCCGTAATCCTTGTAGGAACCCTGAAAGAGAACTCAGTTAAAGGAAAGCTTAAAGGGACAACAACCGACAACCAGACGGCGTCACTCTCAAATCTACGGAGCCCCCTTATGGTTCTTACTGTAGGCCTGGTAGGAACCTTGAAAAAAAACCCAGTTAAAGGAACGCTGAAAGGAGACCATAAGCTACCCTCGGGCTGCCTCGCAGGGCTATGCGCTCACAGCTTGTTCTGTCTTGGGATTGGGGATTAGAGTTCCATCCCTGAGAGCATAACTTAACAGAACTACCCATAGGCCCTACAGTAGTTCCTTTCTGGGGTTACCTTATAGGATTCTATATATGAACCCCCAACAGGAACTATTTTAAGGCCTATGGGTATTGCTAAGTGTTCCCAACCCGAAGACAAAGCATGACGCACCAGCAAAGAGCAGTCTAGGTAGTATTATTCGGGGTACCCCTTAAAGGGTACCCCTTCTGAACCCTACTTTTGGCTCTCTTAAAAGGGACCTTGTTGAGAGGGTCTCTATCCCCAAGGGTCCCCCTAATCCTAGCTCCCACAGTCCTACACGACCGGCGACTTTAGGAATGAGTTGCCAAGCCTTATGCATTCCATCCTTGACAGCTCGAGCTGCACCTGTTGACCTCTAAACCCTAAGCACCATAGTATTTCTTTTTTGGGATTCCCTAATAGGATCCTAAGACAAAAAGGAGCTACCATGGGGCCTATGGGTAAACCCTAAGCCCCATGAAGGAAGCTACCCTAAACCCTAAACCCTAAACCCTAAACCCTAAACCCTAAGCCAAGGATGGCAATGCTTCTATGCGTCAACATGATGTGGATGGCCTTGGAGATTCAGTGACATGACTACTTGGATGGGGTTTAGGGTTTAGGGTTTAGGGTCCTGGAGATTCAGGGACATGACTACTTGGATAGGGTTTATAGGGTTTAGGGTTTAGGAAACGTTCTACTTGTGATTAGAACTTTGACCTATGCCCTCGCCCAGAGTATGCGAAGTACCACTGATGGGCCATAGATACATGCAACTACATGCAAAAGCGGACCTTTTGAAACTAGATCCCGAGAAGAAGGATGCTTACATCGACCGAAGGGTTTAGGGTTGGGGTTTTAGGGTTTAGGGTTTGGGGCTGTGAGGTTTCGGGTAATTTGTCCAGGTGCCCCAGCTAAGACCTGCCATAGAATGACTGCGGGCCCTGAAACCCCAGTACCATCAGACAGCCTTCTGCATCTCTCATAATGAGACCGAGATCAAAAAGCATTTTCACGCTGAGGAACACCCCTAATTAAACCCCTAAACCCTAAACGCTGCACCCCGTTGTCAGAGCCCGTTATGAGAGCCCTGCCGACCTCCACACAGCACGCTAGGGCTTTAGGGTTTAGGGCTTTAGGGTTTAGGGTTTTAGGACTTTAGGGTTTAGGGTTTAGGGTTTAGGGTTTTGGGGCTTAGGGCCTAGATTTTGCTCTGGCAGGGTTTAGGTCTTGGTTCTTCAGGAGAATAAACACTCCATGCACGACCGTCGTTTCGAGAGCGCGGGTTTAGGGTTTAGGGGTTTAGGGTGTAGGGTTTAGGTTAAGAAATCACGCCGAGAAGTTCCACCAAGCCTTCGAGTTGCAAACCAAGGGCTCAAAATAGCCTTTGAAAGCCTTAGATAGTGTGGCTTTTGGGCCCAAAAGGATTATAAGATGAGGCCTTACTAGGGCTAAAGTCGCACTCCTACCCTGCACTCCTGAAGGCGGGCGGCACAAAGCTATGCGGAAGTCATCTATTGTAGTTTTTGTGTGCTGTTCCGTGCTTCTTCCGTACCCGAACAACGTCCCAAACCCGAACCCAAAACCCTAAACCCTAAACCCTAAACCCTAAACCCATCAATTG